TAGACAAAAGTAAACATGAGAGCAGTAAGACCTCACTTGTTTTTCTAATAGGGTGACACAGACTTCATTAAACAATTTCAGTCTGGCCCCTGACAGTGTTAAATCCAGTAATGTAACTGTATGTTTAATGTTTGGCATACATGTTGATTCACTGGGGAAAAAGCCTATTTGTGGACAGAATGTACAAGTATGAGGTGCACAACAGCACATCAAATGGAAATGTAGCTGCCTGAACCCTGGATGCTTTTCCATAAACGTGTCACTGGGCAGGCCTTGCTGGCACTACGGACAGCTGCCATTCCCTGGATGAGAATTCAGGCAAACAGTACCTGTCTCAAGTCTACAGATGACCCAAAGCTTAATGGGACACAAAAGAATCAAGATTCTAAAATCCAGGACTAAAACCAGTACAATACACGTTTTAGTGAGGATAAATATAAGTAATGAAGCTTAAAAAAAAAAAAAAACAGCCTTCAAGGGCATGCGGACAAAATGGCACATGAAGAAAAGACAAGTCCTGTTAAATTCAAGTTCAGTGTGAGATGACAGTGCTGTGCCCACCCAAAACGCATTTAGTAGTGACTAGAGTAAGGAAATCATTGGAATTACTCTGGAACATTCAGGCCTAGACACTTCAAGAATATCAAATAGTGACATATACAGAGAGATTAGGACGGTGAAGGACCTGGGACAGACAGGAGCAAATGTTGGCGGGAGACCTGGGGGAACACGAGCTGTCTTTAAATACCCGAAGAGCTGCCCTTCCTTCAGCAGAGCAATTGGAGAATTCTTTTTGATGACAGATTAGGGTAACTAATGGAAGCAAGAGACAGATTTCAGCCTAGTAAACCAGAAACTTCTGAATACCTGAAAACTTCAACAGTTGGAAGAGGATTCCGGGAATGACAACATATTCCCATTTGGTCACAACAAATGTTCAGAAGATTGGTTACCTGTTTATGGCCTGAGGGATGGGAAAGGTGAGATAGCAATTTTGTTTGGGGGAAAAAAGATGATTTCTAAGGTTCATTTAGTCTTGAGTTTATATAAGCCAGGTAGAAAATTGCTTTTTTTAAACTAAATAATAAGAACTAAAAATCTTACTGTGGCAAGTGACTATTGAAATATATCAAGTAAAACTGGGTTCAATGGGTCCAATTCTGTTACTCCCGAGTCTAGGCAGCTACAACCTTCCCTCTAGTGCGGGAGCCATAGGCAGGGACAAAATCAGCATCTGTGCACATGTACTTCACTACTGGGGTGGCTACTCATGGGTACAGGCTGTAACCTATTCATTCTGAACATTGCATGATGCTGTCAACAAAAGTTAAATGGAATCAACATAAAATAAGCAGCAATTCCCATAACGATGAGTGGTTTTGGTATTGTTTTATTTTTTCCCAGCACATCTCAAAAATCACACATGGGCATTTGCTTATAGAACAGTACAGTCTAGGAAAAGCAATAAAAGAAGAATGCAAACATACACTGAAAGCACAGTATATAGAGTATGTGTGGAGCCCTTGTGGAAAACAGTATGGCTCAGTCTAAATTGACAAAGCTATGCTGGAATCTCTCAGGAATTTCTCTTCCCACTATATATCCACTTTTAGACTATAAACATAAAGAGACAAATTGTTTGTATGCATTAGTTACAGCAGCATAATGGCTTACATACTTCGTACAAGTGCTTATCCACATGTAGTTCCCAAAAGATTACTACAGTACTGGCAGGAATATGTACTGCCTTGGAGGAAGACTCAGGATAAGATATTATTCAAGTCAAGTTGCATCAGAGCCAAAAAATTTCACAGGCTAGCAAAAAGGGCAAAAATTAAGAAATATAACCTACACATATTTCTCATAAGACTTATCATTGTCCAGAAAGAAATATTCATTATTGTGAAGGCACCATCGCACAAAAAAAGGACCAACACACAACATAAAAAAGAGGACCACCTCCCCCCCACACACACACACACACACACACACACACACACACACACACACACACACACAGGCTTGCTCCTCAGGGGGCTGTGTAAGGAAACATCAAAAAGCACGTATTGGGTCTTCAGGACTAAGTATGTCACACCCACCAAGCCACATTTTAGGGCTACTAAGTTGGGGCAGTAGAAATTAAAATGTACTGAAAACACACGTAAATCCCATCAACTGAACAGATGTATGTGGGAGCACAGGTCCGCCATACAATTAGGTAAATATGCTAGAACAGGTGATCCAGACCGACACCGTGGAAGTTGTCAGTGTTTCTACATACAACTGCCTAATTCCTGACATGTTCTTGAAGAGGAATAATGGTGAACTGCTACACAATTGCTGTCTTTTAAAGACTTATCCTCTCCGACTCATTTTAAATAATGGCTATTTCATGGAAAAAAAAAGTCCCAATAAGGCACTGTGATCTTTTGGGGATATTCTTTTAAGCAGCTCAAGAGATATTTATAAAAACTGTTTACCAGTATACGCATTTTGTGTCCTTTTGGATATGTGAACAAGACTGCTGCTTGAAGGGTTAAACACCACAGTTCATGGGGAGCTCATGTTGTTCATAAAAAACACTGCTGACAATAAGATGCCTTAAAAACTAGTATATATGCTACTTAGAAATCCACACTGGAGTGCTTTCTTTTCCCCCATTTTTTTCTTTCTCCCTTAGATTTGGAAGTTTAGCCTCTGGAAGATGTTCCTACTGATACTTAAAGTATTACTCTTTTTCCTTGTGGGGAAAAAAAAGTATAACATAATCTTGAGAACCAACAAAGAAAACGTCTCATTTCCAAAACTCATTTCCAAAACTAAAGCTACTCAATTCTGTGATGGTTCTTTGGCATGAGTGCTCCATTCATCGGTGGCCCCTTCTTGGGTTTGTTAAGAAATAATAGTTAGAAGAGCAGCAGAGTGCTCATTCTTTGAGGATCTTCCAAGGTCCCAACGGGGAATGCTTCATGTTCAAAGGACCCTAACCACTTCCTAGGAATGTAACATTGATTTAAAAAATACTAAAGTCAGTGATAAAACCTAGCTAACAATAACTCAGCTATATATTGAAATGGATTTAGTTACACTTAGGTTGCACTTGATTATGCTTCATTAGTAAAATAAAAATTGTTTTCAAATCAGTGATAATATAAAGATGAAAACTAAAGTTAAAAGAAACACCCAGATGCAAACAGAACAGCAGCTTCACACTCCCTTTAAAGAAAAAGTTCTCAGATCCAGGTCCATTTTATTAATAGTGTAAGTGTCTACAATCTGTTGACATCACAAGTAGTTTTTACAGTTAAATTTCACACTAAAGACACTGTTTGGCTTAAGAAGCAGAAAGCTGAGTAATTTACATCCTCCATATCAGACACTGTAATTTCAATAGTTAAAAAAAAAAATCCTTTACGCTTTCTGGATTTTAGCATCAGAGTATATGTTGTTTCTCTTTTAGGAAACTGAAATTAATAAAAATTTAATGAATATACTGACATGTGGCTCATTTGGAAACAGGAAGCCTTGGGCGAAGCAAAGCTCCCATAATTTAGAAAGCCAAAGGCGATTCTGGATTCCTAATCCTGTAACTGGCACTTGTTATTTTCAGTTTTTCTCTCACCATGAGCTAAGCCCCAGTTAAAATCAAAGTTGCTAAGTATTAAGTGATAAACAAAAAGCCACTAAAGCTGTCTTTAATTTCTATTTGTGTTTCTTAAAATGTAGATAGGTTTTCCATAGTATTCCATTTTGGCTGCCTCAGGCACCAGCACGTGTGGTTTGTGAATCAATTTGTTAACAACCCTTTGTGTTCCACATTTACTGTATAGAATAGATGCTCAGCAAACCCAACCCCATTTCAACAACCAAGATTAATGCTTCAGTTTGGGATTACAGGGTTTCCCTGATCAGCTATGCTTAAAACATTGTAGTTATAAAAGAATGTAACAGTGGAAAATCTCTGGAGCCAACATGCACAAAGACATTTTCAAAAATGCAAGCTAGGACTTCACAGTTACCAAGAGAATATTCTGAGAAAGAGGTGGCCTTGGAACCATCTGTACCTGGTATACTATACACATTGATGGAAGTTGATCCTTTACTTTATTTTCCAAAATATATCAGTACAGCTATGCACACCAGAAGCTTTCTAGCTTCATAAATAACTTTAAAGTAATTGTATGGTATATAATATGTATGCATTTAGGAAGAAAACCCAATTCCTCACAAAAGGAAAGAATTTAATCTTTTGCAGTAATATGCTGGGCACAATAAACATGTGGTTTTTACAATTCTTCCTAAAGAAGCTCAAGTTACTCGGCATAAGACTAAACTCATCATGCACTGTAAACTGCACCAAACATTAAGGCAACAGTTACTCTAAGGGTCCATAAAGCCTGTTCATATTGAGTGTTTAGTATCAATGCCATTTCTCACTAGGAGCAAGTTCCCATTCCCACTAAATCCCCAACCCAAATGTGACATCAAATAAAATATCAGAAATATGACTAAGAAAGTCAGTGTTATGTAGTGCTGAAAACCAAATAGGGTATAACCTTTAAAAATCTTAAATGAACTTATTCAAAATGAGGTAAGAAGCCTCACAGAAACAACGGCCTCCCGGCTTTAACTTTTATGGGGCCATTTTCAGATATTTCAGAAATACGAGGCAAGGTTTAAGTGCTTCTGTGCATGTTCAAGAACTCGGCTCTCCAGACACTGAGTATGTGCAGCGGCACCTCTCAGAAGCGGGCGTATGAAAGCGGCAGAAAGGCTTTCTGATTTTAAATCAGAGTGAAATAGTACTGATGAGTGTTCATATGTTTCAAAATGATCCCCATAGAAATGATGCCAACTATGAAATGCAGTCATCACTATAAAATCAAGATTGGGAATCCCAGAAACATGGAGAAAAAAGACATAAATCACTGATTTCCACAAGGTTTGTGTAGAATAGCGAACACAACAATTTCAGGTGTTAAATTTATAGTTTCCTAATATCAAATACAGATTTTTGAGGTTGTTGAAATCTGAACTCCCTGGGAAAGAATATTATAACAATCACATGCAACAGAATGGATCTGCTTATGAATCTGTAAGTTTTATTTTTAAAAAAATTACTCAGAAACATGTATACACTCCAGGAGATATTAAAGTTTTACATTTTGATCACCAATCAGAGAAATCACCTTCATGAATAGATGCATTTTATAAAGCTGAGATTTTTTTAACTAGAGAGGCAAGTGTAATTTCCTCATCGAGTATCCAACTCTTTCAAATATCAAGGGCTTTAAGCACAGATGTGCTAGAAATTTTATAATTAAAAATAAATCACCAATGTAGAGAGGCAGCTTCTGATAAATCAATATTTAGTTTTTGTTGTTAAACTAATATTTAATTCTGGTTTACAGATTTGAGGCCAATTTTAATAATTAAAATCATTTATCATTTTGAAGCCTTAAAAATACCATTTTGTCAATTTTAAATTTTCACTTTTCTGGTTAAGGCTATCTTCAGATATAAAAGGTATCAAACTGCCCAAAAATACTCTGGCGCTGTTGCTACATAGACAGACAGAATGTCTTTTTACAGGATCATCTGTATTGTGACCTACTGATCAAATATTAATTTTAAAAAATTATCAAAAGTTAGGTATTGCATTAAGAAAAGAATCCATCTCAAATTGTGAATCATGAACCTTGACAGACAGTGATTCAAAGTAATCCTTTTACTTACTTTAATATCTAGGTTTGAATGTAAAAATGTATGCTAAAGGTGATTAATGTTCTCCCCATTATTTAAGAAATATATTTCAAACTTTTGATTATGCTATGTGTATTAATACATTACAGTTTTTTAAAATTTAGGTTAAACCAGTAATTCAAAAAAAGGTGTTAAGCCATTATTAAAAACTTAACTGAAATTTTACTTTTATATGAAAATTTATCATGTTGTTTGGGTTAATTTTTTTAAAAAGATTTTTATTTTTATCATTGAAACTACTGAAGCTTTCAAATTCAATAGCTGAATGATGACTGTGTTTCTTTAGCCAAACAATTCTTCCAACTGGAGACATTAAGTATAAGGAGTCTTCCTTCTCTCCTGTTGCAGCTTCTGCATCTTAGCAACAAGAATGTGCAATCACAAACATTAGGATTCTAAGCTGAATAAAGGCATTCATTTCATGGTAAACCTGTTCTCCATAAACACTGAGTAATATAAATCAGCTTTTCTTATAAAACATATTATGAATGAAATAGGATATAACAATAGGTTATCTCAGTGATACAAATACAACTCATACTTTAGTAGAAACAGAAACATGGAGAACAAAAACGTGTCCCCAAACAGCATAATTTGTATACCGATGATTTAAAGTTTTATAATTGTATACTAACTTCAAAAAATAAAAAAATAAAGGTCGGCCAAGCACCTTACAGAATGGAAAACATCCTAAATAAGACGGCCAACACTGTTTTATGAGTATCCTCCCTTATTGGCCGACACACTAGAATGTGCCCTTAAACGTACATGGGTATCACTCTTCAGTGGAATCCTTCCCAAAATATCTGCTTCTCAGAGACATTTTTAAAAAGAGGCTGGATAAGCAATAGATGACACCAAAATCTGCCTTTGTTCCCAAGAGGAAACATCAATACAAAACAGCTGGCAGCATCTTCCTTCACAAGAACAACTGGCAGGCTTGTGCTGCCTGACTAAAATTTGAAATGACAACCAAATGAGAGAGACTTAGGAATACCATCTGTCAATCCATAAATGTAGAAACAAAATAAACTACAGAATGAAGCAAACTTATGTTAAACCAACACACAAATGTAGCTGAGATAGAGTCCATGATATATATGATTACTGGCATAACAATAGTTGAGGACTTCAAAGAAAAGTGACTTTTTTCATAACAACAGTACTGGATTTATAAAAGGTTTCTGTTTCCAAAGATATTATTGGGGTCCACATATTCCTTGACAGACTTCAGCATCCCAAAGCCGACATCAGAGATACTTTCCTTTAGCCACTGCTTCCGTAACTTGCCCACTGGAAAAACAAAATAAAAAATGCTTCAATATACACTGTGATGCTGGGAACCAATCAATCTTGTGACCACGAATGAACAAACACTGTGTGATAAATGCTTTTATTCAAAAATGAGAAATGTTTTGCTTTATTTGATTTATTGAGCCCACCAGACTATCAAGCTCATTAAGCGCAATGTATTCCCAGGGGAAGCCTGTGCTCCACAGTGTCTCCTTTTTCTGTAAACTATGAAATGAAGATGAAGAAAGCTTGGACTGAGATTATGGCCCATTTTACAAATAACAAAATGAGAAAAATGTGCATTTCCAAAGAATCCACCTCCTGTTTAACAATCAAAACAGCCAAAGTTTCAGAGAAAATGAAGTTAACTCAAGAGAAAAATCATATTCAGGTGAAATTGTTGGGTATAATATAGCAAAACATGACAGGATACATATCTGCAAAATATTTGAAGGAAAACAAAAGCTTAACAATTTTTAAGAAAATCTGAGCCTTGGGTTTAAGAAAAAAAAAAATCTTGTTAGGGAGCTTTTTCATTTGCATTTTCTTTTCGTATTATCTTTATATAAATTTGCATGTTCCCAAATAATGGTTACTTTCTTCCTATTGTTTTCCCCAAATTAGAGATTTCTTTAGGTACTAAGTAAATCAAACACCTAATTCATATTAAACTTACTCTTCTGCTTTTATGCACTGTATAACGTTCCCGTTCTTTGTTCTTGGTCTTACGAATTTTTTCTGAGAAAAATGAACTAATATAATGGCTAGCAGCATAAATCACCTTTTAAAAAGAACTCAATAAAAAAGATAACCTTTCTAAGTAGAACTCTTATAAGAAAGGATATGTACTTAATCTGTAAAAGGATTCTGAAATGTCAGTATGTTTTTGGCATTAAAAAGCAACGCAACATGCTGACTTATCTGTGGTGAAATGGATAAATCTTTTAATTTTTGAATAGGACTATCTGGTTAGTACTTTTCAAATTGTATTAATATAGTAATTGAATTCAAATGGTCATTTTCCACACATGTTCATTAATGACCCAAAGTCATCGACAGCGATTTAACTGGCCAGCGGAAATGGGACCCTTCTTTCATTAAGGTATCCCGCCTGTCATTCTAAAACGCGCTCCCATTCATCAGGCTGCAGTGACACACCATAGCATCTGCCTTTTGGAAATCTTAAACACCATTTCAAGCTTAATTCAAAGCACCTTTTGTGTCCAGTTCTCCAGGAAACCATCAAATTGTCATTAAAATAATAAATAACATGATACTCTGAGAAAGCAAAATATTTCTGCTTAGCTTCTAGAAATAAGACATTGCTGGTGTTAAGATAGGGGAAAATGAGGTACGGCGGGAAAAAAATCTTAAATTCAAAAAAGAAAAATGATTTGTTTAAAAGAGCTCCAAAACTAGAAGGCAAGCGGCACAAATTCCCATTCACGAAACCTCTACCACCTAAAAGATATTTACCAGGTCCTCCCCTTATCTTCCTAAGGAACAACACACCATAATGCTTCAGCCTCAGTTTTCTCTCCTGCAAGAGATTTAAAATCTATAGTCTTTTCACCTCGCATATCCTATGGTTTTAAGAACTTTTAAAAAGTTACAAATCAGTTATTTCCAGATTTGCTCCAAGGGATTAAAAAAAGCGGAAGCAGCATTATTACGAGCCACCCACACCGAGGCAGCTCCACAGAGAGGGGTGGAGAGCAGTCGCTGCCAGTCTCCACTGTTATCTGTAATATAGCTTCACTGAATGTGTCCTGTGGTTATGGCTCTAATTGTCCCGAAAAGACTGCAAACAACTGCTCCAACAAGATGGAGCACATTAGAACCTCAGCAGGATGCCCAACAGCTAGCTTGTCTGCCTGGTTTTACACCTCTAGTAATGATGCAATTCCACAAGGAACTGAACCATCATTTGAGAAGCCACCCAACAGCCACTGCATATTTAATGAAGTCGCTCACCAAGCGCTGGAAAACAGAAGGTGCTTGGAGTGCATCATTAGTTCTGTCAGAAGGATAATTTACACATCTATCTTGTCAAATTTTCTATGGTTTATACTTTTACAATAATCAATCTAACATACATTTGATTAGTGAACTAGAAAGTTTTTAAAAAGGCAGTACAGGCAGCATGGCTGTGGCCCCTCATAAACATATTTAATGAAAGAATTTAACCCCTTCATGGCAGAGGTCTGTGAGTTTCTGTCACTGATAACAGAATTTAAACTGAGATCAGAAATCATGGCTCATGCACTTAAAGGGACTAGGAATCTTTTTGGTTTTGCTCAATCATTTAAATCAACTGCATTGTGGGATTAAGTGTCCAAACAAAAAACACAATTTAAGTAAAAATGTTCAAAGAGTCTTTGTAATAACACAATCATTGGACATAGTTCTTTATAAAATTCTCTGGCTGTTTCAGATGAATTGATAAATTATAAACAACAACAAAACCCCAAAGGTCCTGATCCCAAAAAGAGATCCCATTTCAAAGTAGAAGATTTTTATTCTAGCGCTAACCAACAATAATAATGATGATGCCATCCGTCCAATCTTTATTTGTACTGCAAGGCATTTAGAAATTAGCTGACTATACTGCTCTGGACACATGTGACACACATGTGTGCAACCCTATAGGAGCTGCTAGAACAGTTAGTTGTAGAGCTTGTTTTCAGAGATGGGAAGGAAACTCTGTTCCTTCTGTAGCATGGCATATGGGAAGACAGGACAATGAATAAAACCAGCAAAAACAGCAAGCCTCAGACTGAAACATTCCTTGTATATCTAGTTATCCATGAGAAGTCATGTACACATTCCTATCACATGAATCTTAATGCTCTTTCCAGACCTGTGTTATCTGAGGTGGGATATTCATGACCACTGACTCAACTAGATTCCTTTCACTTCTGAGGGTCGACCCTGCAGCTCCGGAAAGCCAACTCCATCACTTCTGAAAACACGATAGGGACTCTGTATTCTACAGTTCACAATTATTCTACATCTATAATGCCCAAGGTGCGTACGCCTGTCATTTAAGAGTCTTAGAAGCATTTTTAAAGATACAAAAAACACAAGCCATCCAAATTCTAGACATTATAGAAAACAAATGGGGGAAATTATCTGCTTAAATTAAAAGTGGAGTTCACTTTTTTACAGTTTAATTTCTGATAATGTACATACAGACCGGATGAAACAAGTATTTTGTGTTCTACAATATACACTATGTTTTTGAAAACTTATTTGTGGGACAGGAAAAAATGAAGCTTTTAAAGATACTCTTTGAAATCATAGGGTCGACAAGCCCCTTGGGATGCTAACATCTCCAAGGAAGAACGCATCTGTGGAATGATCAGCAGCATAAAAGACTGAACAGACACACATGCGAGGGGAGGGGCAGGCAGTGTTGTGTGTGTGAAGTGTGGACACGGTGGTCAGCCCAGCCACCAAGAATTCTCTGGAACTACCCTGTGTTCTAAGGGCCTGAAAGCCTACCAAAAACTACCCAATAGTCCTCTCTCAAAAGTGATAAATCCAAGCTCTATTAGCCAGACTTCTTTTCAGCTAGATATAGTTAAAACTGTTTGTATTATTAATTTGATTATAAGGTTGAAAAGATTATATACTTATTATGAAATATTACAAAATAGGCTGTACATTTAGAAGATGTCTAAAGCTAAAGCTTAGAAGCAGAATTTAGCCAAAGTAGAATAAAAACATCTAACTTATTATTGTAACAACTGTACTTTGAAAGTTGAGTTTGAGCATATTGGATACCTTTAGCACTATTCTGCGAGTTATATTTTTAAAACAAAATCTAGACTTAGCTGCTTGTGTGAGTGATCTGAGCATCCATTTGTATTTCAAAATTTAAGTAACGCAGCCAAGCTACCACTGAATTGTGTCAGGAGCTATGCTGGAGGCACACCTAACCTCTTGCCAGCTGAGGTTCTGGCTCCCGGAAGCTCCGGAGGTACTGACAGAAAGAGAGGACAATGGACCGTTTCCATTCCTCGAGGCACCTGGCGACCTGACTGCGACAAGGTTTCCTCAGAAGGGGCAACGGGCCTCAACTGGAAAAAAGGATTTAGCTGTCCATTTGTTGGTGCTATAAAGTACATTTTTGTGTGTTTGATTTTGGTGAAGGTGCATGTTAACATCAGCCAACAGATCTCCGACTGAGGGATGCTGACACCCAGCCTTCAAGGTGTATGAGAAGGGGTTATGACTATCCACACGGCTAATTTAATGCTTAGTGGATAAAGTCATGTTTGATTTTAAGCCATGTGACTTATTTTTTACTAATGAAACTTCTGATATCAAGATGAAAAACTCAAGAATACCATGTTAACAAAGCAATTAATATCTCCTATTATAAGATTTTTCTCTTCGTAAATATTTAAAATGTACATTTTCATCATGCTAAGATTTCACCTGTGCAGTTTATACAGTATCTCTAAGATTTTACAGATACTTGAATAGATCTTTAGAGATTATAAAACAGAAAAAAAGTTTAAATTACTAGGGTAATAACAGATTATAAGAGCTGGATTCAATCTGTTTTCAGAACACAATCATGTGTGAATTCTGCTATATATCCCCCAAAGATGGCTTGACACACTTGAAGTTTAAATTCTGTGCAAAGTAATGCCCACACAACAAAGTCAAAAGTAAGTGAACAGGTCAAATAACATGAGACAAATATGGGCAGAAAAGGGGAGAAAACATTATATGCTTCTTGAAGACTGAGGCCATATTTTATTCATTTTTGTAGCCCTGTTGTATAACATGTGTATGCCACAATAAGAATTCAATAAACATTAGCTAAAATAAAACATAAACACTGAGTCAAAGTTATCTATCAGCTATTTTAGATGAGGGGTAAGGGTTCAAATATCTCGGAAAAGGAACCTGGCTTTCCTTAATTTACTTGGTTTTATCTGCCTGCATTCCCTATATTCGGACATTATTTCTTGTATATACTCAGAGCT